TCTCTCTCTTTCCCCCCTCCCTTCCTTACACTTCTGTCTCTCTCTCCCCTTCCTCACCCCTTCCTCTCCCCTTCCTCTCCCCTTCCTCTCCCCTTCCTCTCCCCTTCCTCTCCTCTCAAATCCCCTCTCTTATGCTACTGAGTTTTTTTGTAGACAAGGTTTTGTTAGTTCTGCCTGTGTGTTGATAAGTTCGAAGGTCACTGTGTCTTGGTTTCCCCAGAAGAGCTACAACAAAGTGGGTATTATTCTTGTCCTGAACACAACCATCCGGGGAAAGTGGGAGTCTGGGGGGGGGGGGGGATCCTTGGAGGGAAGCAAGGAGGTCAATGTTTTTACAAACACTTGGACTCATTTATTTATTCAGATAATACTACTTGGATCAAGTAGAAGAGAGAGGTGCTAGGGCGAATGTATTCCTCCTAGGTCTTTCAGTTGCTCTGTGCTATTTTTCTTTGTCAAAAGGTGTTGTGCTAGTAAACCTTTGAAGCTTTCTTGTTGATGATTGAGTTGTAGGAAGTCCTGATATGGTTTTATACAAATGAACTGTATGTATGATGGGTTTAAAAAAAAATTGCATCTGAAACAGACATTGGCGGACATGGTTCACTACTCATTTCCCTACTCAGATGCTTTGAAAAAAGACCCTAAAAACAAAACAAAAAACCCCCCCAGAAAAAACCCACTATATTGTACTATTTTATTGTTCACTACTCAATGATATGATCCTGCTCAGAAGCTCGAAAAAAAAAAACTAAAGAAAAAAAAACAACTTAAAAAGAACCCCCCATACCCCCACCAAAAAACAAACAAACAAACAAACAAAACAACCCTACATGATAATGGTGCTATCCACATCTTCCATTAGTTGTAGTTCTGTTTCTGACGTGTAACTTTCTTCTATTTTCAGCTCCCTCCCGAGGAAGAAGAGCGTCGCCGCGTGCGAAGAGAGCGTAACAAAGTGGCCGCAGCTAAATGTCGTCAGAGACGTGTGGACCACACGAATGAGCTGGTGGAGGTAAGAGAAGATAACTTTCTGATAGTTTGACGGTCTTCTATTTTTATTTACTGAGGTTGCTCTTCCTGTTACTGTTTCCTTCAGGAATAAGTCCCGGAGACAATTGTTTGTCTTCTTACTGATCAAGTTATTTTTAGATAAAAAGATTTAATGACAAAGCATCCCTAATATTTGATAGGTCTTCTTTTGTCTTATGAGGTTGACAAATAAATAACAAATCAAGTGTACATGTAGTTTTTTTTTTGGTTCCAGTATGTTACTCTTCCACCTAACAGCAAATCTTTATTTTGTTGGTCCATCAAATGGCTGCTTGTGTTTGTGTTTGTGTTTGTGTGTGTGTGTGAGAGAGAGAGAAAGAGAAAAGGAGGGAGGGAGGGAGAGAGGAGATGTTGACAAGTTCGTGTGCGTATATGCCTTTTCCATGCTTTAGCAAATTCACTTTGTAGAGATGCATGTTATATTTTTATATTATGTTATCTTATCTCACGTTGACCAAAGTTGACGGGTGCTCTGGTGTGGTTTGTTTCTTCTTTCCTATCAAATATCTATCATCCTTATCTTTCCTCCTTTTTTGTGTTTGTCACTCTCTTATAACACCTCTAATCTTTGCCACTTATATAACCTTATTGTTTTGCAAGTGCCGTACGTTAAATACTTGCTAAAACTAAACGAAAAGCTGACCAGATCTTGTTGTCTTTGTTTTCCCTCCCAGGAGACGGAGGAGCTGGAGGCAGAGCAGAGCAAGCTGGAGTCAGAGATCCAGTCTCTGCAGCAGGAGCGAGAACAGCTGGAGTTTATCCTTCAGGCTCACCAGCCCATGTGTAAGGTGAACTCTTCCCGCTCCACTGCCGCCCCAGCCACCTCATCAAAGGTCAAGGTGGAGCCGGAGCACTTGATGGTCGGCGGTGCCTCCGAGACCACCGGTCACCACCACCCCCACCACCAGCACCACTCACACCTCCACAGCTCCGCTGACCCGTGCCCAGCCCCGGAGAACCTGAGCATGTCTGCTGCGGCGTCCAGCGCTTCAGCCGCCACCCCCGCCCAGCGGCCTCCCGCCGCAAGTGCCGCAACAGCGTCGTCCGCCATCGTTTCTTCATCGGCCGCCGTCTCGGAGAACTCTCTGGTGGCCTCGTCTCGGCCCAACTCCCTCCCTCTGATCAAACGGGACCGTGCGCGGATGTTGTCTGTGACCTCGGCCACGGGTGTGAGCATCAACACGCCCACCTCTGGGGTCACCATCACCCCATCGTCGCTGTTCTGCCCCGGGCTGGACAGTATGGTGGACGGCTCCACGGGACTGACGCCCCTCACCGGCATGTCGTGCTCCTCGCAGGTCCAGCGGAACAACAGCGACAGCAGCTCCGAGGCAGTCGGCTCACCCACGCTCATCTCCTTGTGACAAACAAAGTCTCTGCGAACACCACTGGAATCTTCGTCCAAGATGCTAGAAGAAGAAGACGACGAGAAAAGGAATTGATTGAACTGTAGAATTTTTGAAGAACTTTTTCCGTTTCTATTTTGTAGCTTATAGTTGGAATAGGTGTTCAGCCGGAGATCGATCTATCGTGGTGTTCCAGAGAGATGAAGTGACTTGCAGTCTACGACAGTCATAGAGGAAAGTTCAAAAGAGTTTAAATTAGATTTTAAAAGGACTGAATGATTAGTTTTTATCGTTACACTTTGTAGCTTTATTTAGCACATATTTGGTTTTTTAGAAAGATGGGTTCATGTTACTTGGAAACTGTGAAATTAGTGAGGTGGATATTGGCACAATGCTTGGCGTTGTATTTGACTCGAAGTAGATGCATGAAAGTTGTGAAAATATTGTACAGCCGAGGATGTAGAGTGTTTGTTTTTTGAAAAGGTTTCAAGTATTATGCTTACTTGAAGAACTTGACTGCATTTATTCAGCTGATAGAACTGGTTCCATAACAGTTTGTTTTTGTCTCCATCTGTTTCATAGAGGTCATTCACTTGTCACAAATTTATAATTCAGACTTTGCTGTACTGCTAAGAGTCTTCATATAAACTTGTTTATAGGAAATGAAAGAAACTTTTTCCACATGAATAGCAGTTGGTGGAATGTGGGTGAAGGAAGTCTTACTTTGCTGTCAAGAATCTCGGGGGTTGGTGGGAGTGGCGGTATACTTGAGTGAGAAAGTAGCGAAGTAAGATAGTCGTCCAGCTTGTATAGTGATGATGTCAGTGCTTAAAGCTTGTCTTGTGCCCTATTGTTATAATGCTTGAGTGTAAAGTCAATGATTCTAATTGTTTCGATCCGTTGAGTATTCTGACTTCCCTGTTATGTTTCACTGTGCTTTCTTCAAGTGGATGGACTTGTGTGCAATACTAAATGCATGTTGATATATATGTGTGTGTACAAAAGAGCATTATAATGTCAGTTGTACGCTATATGAGCTGGTTATCATGTGCCCTTATGTATAATTTTATGACTATGGTTCGCTCTTTTACAACTGCCTACGTTGCCTGTAGGGGGCTCAGACTAATAATAAAGCTTTTGTTTTAGTATGCAAAACAGTTTTTCTGTCATGGTGTTCCACTTGTGTAAGTAATATTCTATGCACTTTTGTTCAAGCACATTATGTGTGTATATTTTGCCTTTATCCTGAAAAGCAAAGCAGCTACTCCATGCAAAGTCGCCACATGTTTACTCTACAGTTTTTGCGTGTGCTTTAATTCAAAGCTTTGGAAGGAACTTCCCTTTTTCTACCCATATCTTCCAACAATTTGTTTCTCTGTGCGCATTTTGCATTTTACATTTTACAACTCTTCTCAGTAGAAATTTGTTGAACTGGAAACTTTTATTATGATTTGCCTATCGATTGCGCTAACAGGTCATTGTGTGTGCGTTTACCTTTGGGAGAATGTTTGAGGGACAGTAGGTTCATCACGGAAAGATCAGAAGCAATATTAGACACACAGCAGAGCAGGACAAGCAGAGACAGTCTCCTGTCTGTAGTGAGAGGAATGGTCCCGTAGTGTCGTGGGACCGGAGACTTCTAGACAATTACCTCAGTTGTATGTGTAACTTTACCATTTGATAATTGTTGTACTTGTGCGTGTGCGGCTGTACTATTGATGGCTGCACCAGGTGTGTGTGTGTGATCTGTGAGTGACTGTGACTGTGACTTTGACTTTGATGCTTTCCCTTTCATTGCTGTGCCAGGTTGCAAGGTGTGTCAGATATTTATTGCTCGGGTGGCTAGAGTGAGGATGATTGTGGAGAAGCCCTGTAAAAGCAGGACTTTTATGAAAAATTTTATGAGTGCCTGAGATCTAGGTCTGTTATGGAATGAATAATGAATGTTAGATAAATATATAAGCCTGTTTTGGGAGTCTTCTATAAAAACAAAATCTTGGTCACTAGACGTGTCTCTTTTCTATATCTTCTGATAAAACATTATTTGGGCACCAAATGGAAACAGAAATCTGTAATACAGAAGTCATACTTGGACTTGGAATTTTCTATTCAAAATTTGTCTGAAAAGAAATGGGATACATTGTAGTTAAGTTTCTGCTGCTGTTATGAATGTGTTTGGTGAGAAATTGTCCTTGAAACATTTACGTCCGGCCATAGTCATTGATGAACTACCATTCCGCTTTGTTTGTTACCTGGTAATCTGACTGTTTTTCTTTTTTCAATTGATGGAACTTGACGCTGCTCCTCGCAGCTGCTAATGTGGAAACTGTTGAGTGTTTTCTGCAGCCTCCAGATGCTCAGTGACTTGTCTCTTCTTCTCTTCTTCTATGTCCTTGTTGGGGGGAGCTCACTGTTTTTCTACTGTTGGGTCTCTCCACCGAGGCTTTTCGAGACCTCCCTACGTAGGTCGTGGTCACCCCATCTGTGGCTGGCATTGACTGTTCTGTGTTGTGATCTTCATATGGTGTCTCTATAGCATCCTCATTACGTGTTGTCCACGTGTTTCTCGTTGTTTTTATAGGTGTCAAACTGCTGCCATGTCATTGGTTCATTTCACTTTGGATACTTTTTTTTTTAGTTCAGTTTGTAATACATTTTTTCTTCCGTTGCTGAAAACAAGCTGTGAATCATGTTTCTTGCAAACAGCTGGTTGTTGAAGAAATCGCATCACTTTCTTGTTTGTTATTTGTTTGTGGCTTCTTCTGACTGCAACTACCACTAAGCCGATGTCTGCCATTTTGTGCTTCAAAGGTCAATAAAAGCAATCAGAGGGTCTAGTTTTTCTACTCTTGAGCCAGTTACAGTGAACTGCTGTATGGAAAAATTAGTTTGTAAAGATGTTTATTTCTAATTGTGGTAGCCGGTAAACGATGTGACAGCCTTTTTCTTGTAATGCTAGATGTGGGTATTCTGGTTTACTTTGTTAAGTTTCATCATGAAATGGACAGTTTTTCTCGTTTTGAAAGAAAGATTCCGAAACTGCTAAACTCCTTGGTCCAACAGTGAAATTTGAAACGCTATTTTTTTAAAGAGTTTTTTTTGTAAACCTTTTATTAATTGCATCGTTTGAGACAATGCATTATTCAGCCCTACTCATGTTTACTTTCCCTCCCAATTTCAAGACCCAAGTGTTCCGAGAACATGATAAATGACCATAGATTCTTTACCGCGTTTGTACCTGTGTACCTGTCCAGTCCATCATTTCCATCTCGCGTGTCATCGTATGAGCCATGAATGCTACTCAAGTCACGTAGATGTACAAGAATTCCTACCGTTTGTACTCTGCCCAGGGAAAGTTTCCTTTCAACAGTTGATATGATTTCCTGACAATAGATTTATCATTGAAAGGGTCTATGCAATATCATTCCATAAGTGGATCAGATGGCCATTACTTTTTGAACTCTTATTGACCTAGTGCCTGCCTATGCTTAGTATTTAAATTGACTATGACGTTGTCTTTTATGATCTATTTTTACATGCATGTTTTCTATCACATGACGTTTTTGTCCTCGGAGCCTGTTTGCCTGTGCATGAGTACTCTCAGCCTCAATGCTGTGTCATTCGTTTGTGTTGTTGTTGTTTTTTTATGGAAGAAAGCGAAGCATAATGGTCTCAATTGTTCATGGGTGTTTACTTTGAAGATTTTAAATAACGAAATAATGAGCTGAAAAGTGAACCACGTATCTTTGTAATATGTAATCAATTACATGATGTATCTTGTATTCATAATATTGTTTATCATAAATACAAATGACAATAATAAATGTTTGAAACTGAAAGTTACCTTTTAATACAGTGTGTCAACTTTGTACTTTCTGTAAGTAATTACTTTAAGTGGTCTAGCTATTTTATTAGCCGTACATTAAATTGGTCCTTGTTACAATATCCCAGCCTCCAGTAAATTTTACACGGGCTGTCAAGAGGATAGATTAAGATTGTTTATTCTTGTAAGTTGATTCAAACACATTAAGTTTTGATCTCTGCCTTTTAACGAGATAAAGTCCTGGGAGACTTGTCAATGGGTGGTTGGTGGGTGCTTCTCGCAAGCTTTAATTATTTGTCTTTTCTTCCCCATCATTTTTATCTGATGTCTTTCTTTGTTCAAGTTTGAGCTTATTGGCTGTTATTCCAGTTTTGTTGGGAGAGCGTTTCTAGAATTCTCTTCTACTCCAACAAACAGTGAAGTACATAAAGAAGAGCACACCACGGTCATAACACAAGTCATTTTGTTTTTTTGGGTCGTTTTGAGAAAAAAATACACCCCCCCACCACCCCACCCCCCCAAAAAAAAAGAAACAAAGCAAAAAAACAACAACAACACAATGCTTTCTCAAGTCAAACGTATTTTTATACATGAAGCGAAATTTCAAACAGGTGTCAGACTTTGTGCTGTTGAAGCTAAGAGAGGTGAGCAGAGTAAGTCTGATTCACTAAAAGGATTTCTCTGTTGACATCCACCCCTTGGTGCTCATATGACCTTATGCAGTTGCGAGCGCAGTAAAACCTCTACTAAAACAAACTAAACAGGTGTCTGTGGTGTAGCGGTGAGGCGTTTCGCTCCCACATGCAATAGACCCCAGTTCGATTCCAGAGGGAGAATAATTTTTTATCCAGTATCTCGGTCTTCTTCCTATTGGGATTTAGAAGTATCCCTCTCAGTTGTTCATCCCAACCAAAAATTATGTAACAAAAAAAAATCTGCAATATTGAGGATATGAAACAAGGAACAAATATTTGTACACTTACCAGTAACTAGAAACCTGTAAAGAAAATGACTTGAGCATTTGCGTTATGACCGTGTCAATATAGAAACATCGATCATATAAATTATGAATACTGCATAGTCTAAAGATAAACATAGTTGTGTCGACATTATTTAGCAGTGAGTATATTTAGATAGATATCCCAACTTCCAGTCTGTTGCACATTTTTCAGGTAAAATAACTACTATTGCAGTGAGAGACATACAATTTTAAAGTCTGAATCAGTGTCTGGAAAATCGGTTCAATCATCATCAAGATCTTCACTCATAAATTGAACTTGTCTAATGTTATTCTGACAAGAAAATTATGTTCAGATCCACTGGTGTGTAATGTGTGTTCCTGTCGATCGATCGAGTGTGTTGCCACGTTGACACACTATTTTTTTTACACATGATAATAACTTCGATGTGGATCGTGTTTGGGGTCGTTTTATGACACATGTGTCTTGCTGGGGAATTTGTCATGACTGGTGCTAAACATACGACTTCCATTTTTATCTCGACACTTTTGAAACGTCTTCTTTCATACTTTTCATATATTGATTTGATTGTATTGCTTTCTCCTTTATTTTTTCATTTATTTTTGAATTAATGTAAATGATTTAGTAAATAAATGTTGAAAATTACACTTGTGTTCTCTTATTTTTGTGTTTTCCCTCTTGTCTTAAGTTTATGGCCTTGTGTGTGTGTTTTTGTGTGTGTTTGTGTGTGTGTTTGTGTGTGTGTTTGTGTGTGTGTGTGTGTGTGTGTGTGTGTGTGTGTGTGTGTGTGTGTGTGTGTGTGTGGCTGTGTGTGTGCGTGTTGTGTGCCTGTGTGTGTGTGTGTGTGCCTGTGTGTGTGTGTATGTGTGGGAGAAAAACACCAAACCAGTGCACAGCATCTGGACAATAACGATTTATCTTATCCTATTTCATCTTAAATTTAAAGAAGTATTCATGATACCGTGGGTGGTTGGCGGGTGCTCTGGTGTGGTTTGCTCCTTCTTTCCTATCAAACATCTATCGTCCTTATCTCCCCTCTTTCTATTTTGTGTTTGTCACCCTCTTGTAATACCTGTAATCTTCGGCACTTACATGACCTTATTATGTTGTAAGTGCCGTAAAACCCTTACCAAAACAAAACAAAAATGTAAATGACCCAGCCTTGCTTGGGCGGTATGTTCCAGAAGAGAGATGGTCAGTACATGGAAATAAAAGGTGGAAAGTATGTCCTACTATTTAATTTTCACAGGTGTGACAAGGGTTTTTTTCATGGTACTGGTAGGGGATTTTTTTTTATATATTGAATTTCACTCAAGTAAAAAAGAAAGAAAAAAGGAAAGAAGGAAAAAAGGCAATTGTAAAAAGTTGGCCCTTTGAGAAAGCCACAGCTCCAGCGATGCACGGCATGCAAGCACTGCTGTTGTGCTCTGTATCCACAAAAGGTCAAGGAGTCGAACTCGCGTTTTGGGCATGCGCCTGCGAAGACCCTAACCTCTGCACCATTGATACCAGTCCCCCCCCCCTACCCCAGGTTGTCTTGAGACCATTCCCAAAGGGGGTATATTAACATGTTCTTATGCACAGTAGAATTGTAAATGAGCTGATTTATCAATGTCATGCTCATACTGTGCCAGAAGAACATAGGAGGAACAGCTGCTTTTTCTTTTCTCATCCTTATACTATCGTCATTTTGTCCTCTACTTCTTTTGTATGTTTGTCACTCTCTTGTGAACTGTCATTTCCGAGGTGCCTTGATAGTCGAAGCAGACTTTGTGCTGGTGAGGCTAGCCTGATTCCCCGTTTGGACTTCTCTTTTGACATTCACCCCTTCCTTGGCGCTGCGCTCATATGACCTTATTATGCAGTTGCGAGCGCCGTAAAACCTTACTAAAACTAAAAAACACAAACCAAAAACAAAAAAGAAGAAAAAAGCAAACAAAAAACACAAAAAAAACTTTAAAAACGCCAGTCACACTATGTCAGCGCTACGTCCATTAACTGTTGCCACAACTGACAGCCTTGTGCGTGAAGACAGAAACAAAACAATGTCCAGTTATGAACGTACCCCCTATTTTCCTGATAAGCGAAGTCACACAAATTTATAATATCTCCTTACTGCTAACTTTGGTACGTACACCCTCCCCCCTACCTTCTACACAAATTTATAATATCTCCTTACTGCTAACTTTGGTACGTACACCCTCCCCCCTACCTTCTCCCCCCCCCCACCCTCCACCCCAACCCCGCCCACTTTGGCGTTCTACGTAACGTGCCAGACAGAAGTTGCTGACGTCATTAATCTCTCCTGTATGAGTATGAGGGTTTAGGGAGGATCAACGTTATTTAATAAAAAGCAGTGTCAGAACACGACATGTATCAGAGGGTTGAAAAGGAAACGAAAAACAAAATCTGCTTATTGAATAGGACGAGATTCTTTTTTATATTATTATCTAAATCTCACAGTATCTTGACTGCTGATAAATTTGTCGTTTATATTGCTTTGGCTTAGTATGTTTCGGAATCTATAACAAAGAGCTAGAAGAGCGCTCCCTTTCTGTCTGTCTGTCTGTCTGTCTGTCTGTCTGTCTGTCTGTCTGTCTGTCTGTCTCTCTCTCTCTCTCTCTCTCTCTCTCTCTCTCTCTCTCCCTCCCCCCTCTCTCTCTCACTCACTCAATCTCTCTCTCTCTCTCTCTCTATCTCTCTCTCTCTCTCTCACACACACACACACACACACACACACACATACACACACACTCCCCCCCTTCTCTCCCCCTTTCTTGGACGTAAAATAACGCCCAATGTAGTACTTGCTAGGGATTTGTTCACCGCCTCCGAGGTCAGTTCTAGTATTTCCAGTCCTCATCCCATCAAACCATCACAGGTCTCTGTAGCTATCAATTTGGAGAGAAAGTTGATGTGCACGTGGTGACCTTGAAAAGCAAACGCGTTTGAATTGGCAGGTCACAAGAGAATTCCGCTGGATTCTGACGTATGGTGCCAAAACGTGGGTGGTTGGCGGGTGCTCTAGTGTGATTTGCTTCTTCTTTCCTATCAAACATCTATCGTCTTTATCTCTCCTCCTTTTATTTTGAGTTTGTTACTCTCTTGTAACACCTCTAATCTTCGGCACTTATATGACCTTATCGTGTTGCAAGTGCCGTAAAACACTTATTAAAAGCTTAAGGTGCCACAACAGTAATTTTTTTCCTATCCATGAGGGAAAATCTACCTGGCTCCGACTAAATCGGATGATTTTTTTTCGAACAAGGTGTTACGGCGCTCGCAACTGCATAAGGTCATATGAGCGCCAAGAGATAGCAACAGAGAAATCCAAACGCGGTATCAGGCTTACTTTGCTCACCTCTCTAGCCTCAACGGCACCAATCCGGTGAATCCGACTGGCAGTGTGCGCTGGGTATAAGGGACAACAACTTAACGTCATGGCAACTTAGAAACTGTGTGATGGTGGTTGGGGGGTGCTCTGGTGTGGTTTGCTCCTTCTCTCCTACAAATAGGTGGCAAATCTAAAGTCCTTATCTCTCCTCCGTCTTTTCTATGTATGTTGCTTTCTTGAGACACACACCTCTAATCTTCGACATTTATCTGACCTAATTTGTGCTGCAAGTACCGTGAAACTTGTACTAAAACTAAAGATAATATATTATTATTATTCTAGTGTTTGTATTACACTGAATGACAGTCTGAACTAGGCACGGGCGTACGTACGTGAGGACAGTCTAAATAACGCGCGCGGCATCAACACTCGACTCACGAGCTACTTGCCGGCCGGATGGATGTGTGGAAGACGCTACTCACCAACGCCCGGAGCACTTAGGGCGACTGACACGTAGAAAGGTTCTAACTACAGCAGGGATAGAGTACAGATACAACGTTCTCGCTCAGAGATTTGGATTGTGACGCGAGAGAGTGGTCTTGTGGGGGTCTTTCGTGAAAAAAAATAATGACGTACGCATTAATTGTTGGGCTTCAAGTTTCATACACGAGCATCAAACATAAGAGAATCGGGCTACAGCGGAATGGGTAGAGACTGAAAAACTTGGCCTGATGACGTCAAAGAGGTCCCCTGGAAGCCACCCACCCACCCACCTTAACCTTGATGAAAACAATTGCACCCCCCCCCCCTTTGACATCAAACGATACGCCGTATAAGAGGAAAGGAAAAGTAAGTAAAAAGTAAGTAAACTTTTGAAGTTAGCATTACGCTACCTTCATTTAAAGTTACAAAGTTCTATTTGACATTTTTGGCCGTTTTGAGTTACTCAGACCATGAGGTCAGATACCAAATGTTTTGGCGGTCAGAGACCAAATGTTTTGGCTGCTCTGTCAAAATCGTAAGATTCGAAAAAGCTTGACACGTTGTGAAAATCAAACGTGTTGACGTCATATTTCTCAATATTAGGCACTGAAAAGATAGATCTTTGTATTTCTTGGGTAGCGATTGTTGTATGGGTTAAACCCTTGGCATAGGAAAGTCTACCGCTAGCTCCTGACAGACCCAGTTGGACA